TGGGTATTTTTACCCTGGCCTTAGGGTTACCCAAAACGGAAGAAACACGTTTTGGAACCCTAAACCCTAAACCCTAAGTTCGTGTATCAGATCTTGGGCATCCTGTACCTGAACTGCCTATCACACACAACAAGCAACCCCAACGAAAACTGCTGGTTGTCCGTATCCCGTATACAATTCCAATCGGGAATTCAAACAATTCCCTGTGGTTGCCCCCATGCTCTCTGCAAAGTTGCCGCCCCAACCTTCTTAGAATTAAAGAAGGCACCTGGCTGACGAGCCTAAAGCCCAAACACTGCACCCCAAGTCCCTTTTAAGTACGCGGAAGACATACTAGCCTTCCAGCAGAAAATCACCCTTCTACACGCTTTCTCCCGAAAAGCCTGAAATCGGACTTCCACGTCATTTGTACAAATTATTGTCCATGTTCTTCCCCATGTGTTGCTCCACTATTTCCCAAATCCCTACAACCTGAAGGTTTCGGTAGAACCCGCCATCCCCTTCTAGTCGCTATGTACCTACCGGATCCTCAGAAAACCCTACACCCCGAAACTCTAAGCTCTAAACTGTAAACCCTCACACACTGAACCCTAAACCCCAAACCCCTGAACCCTAAACCCCTGAACCCTAAGCCCCTGAACCCTAAACCCTAGATCCCGAAACTGAGCACTCGACTAGGTGATCCGGGCCTGGGTGAGGATCGCCTGGGAGGCCAATGTACCCAAGTTTTGGATCTGGGTTCTGGGGGGTTTCCCAAGATTAGGAGTACTTTATTTGGGGTCCCCATAACAAGGATAATGCTATCTTGGGGTCTACATTGGGTTTTCCCCCCATTTAGGGAAACTACCATTTGGGGTTAAGAGTTAGGGGTTTTAGGTTTCGGGTGCAGGGTTGGGGAGTTGCGGCCCAGGGTTTAGGGTTTAAGGGTAGGGTGCAAACTGGGGAGGATGACATGTCATGATGACACGTTTTGATATAAATTTAGCCTCCGCTCTCAGGAAACAAACCAACCCTAAACCCTAAACCCTAAACAGAGCTCATCATTATCCTAGACGGCCCCAGTCAGCTATTAAAGGAGATTCTCCACCCTAAGCTTCCACTTATTGTTTAGGGGCTTTAGGGTTTAGGGGTTAGAGTACAACGCCCGAAACCCCAAGCCGCCTAAGTCCCACACCCAATACCTTAAACCCCAGCCCCTCAATGTTCTGCAGCCCAAAACAACCCTAAACCACAATAGCCCCCTTGTGCGTCCCACACCCTAACCCCTAGACCCTAATACCAATACCTGCCCCCATGTTTTCTGCACTTTACACCCCTATCCCCATTCTGTTTCCTACACCCTACGGATGGACCCTAGCAAGGGCTCTAAACCCTTTCAGTGGCCTCATTTTGCTTCTAGACCCCTTTAAATCCAGAATTCCATACCCTCAACCCTATACCCTGAATCCCTCAACCCCAAACCCCCTACACCCTAAACAAACCCCTAAACCCTAAACCCCCCAACCCTCAAATAAGAGCAAGTTGCGAGCCAACCGATCGCGAGTCTGGAGATGGCGAGCGAGTAGGTCTCGGCAGCGATGCCCAGATAACAGCTACAAAGGTTTATAGGGTTTAGGGTTTAGGGTTTTAGGGGTTCAGGGTTTAGGGGTTTAGGGTTTTAGGGTTTAGGGTTACAAAGGTTTAGGGTTTAGGGTGTTAAAATGGAGTGAATAGGGTTGTATAGGGTTTAGGGTTCAGGGCTTTGGGATGGGATTCAAAAGGAGTGAAAAGGGTTGTATGGGACTAGGGTCTTTGGGCTTAGGGTCTAGGGATGGCTTTGAAAGGAGGGCAAAGGGTTGTGAGACAGTACTATGGACTATACGAGGTTATACAGGTAATATATATATATATATACATATATATATATATATACATGAGCAGGGTTCAGGGTTGGGGAATGCCGGTTTAGGTTGCTGGGTTTGGGGTGTGGGCACAGTGCTTGTATACGTGCAGGCCTTAGACCCCCAAAGCCCGACATATATGGCTTCTCGAGGTGGTGCTCGCATGCCGGGAGTCATCTTGTGGGATAGGGCCCCAAGGGTCCAAGTACTCAATCATCATATACTTAACCAAAAACCTATATTACAATTACTATTACCAAAATCCCAGGTACCTACTTATTGGGTACTTGGACCCTTAGGGGGGTTCAGGGTTTAGGGCTTTGAAAGTATAGCTGCAATGTGAATGAGGAATATTGCTTCAAGTCCTTGTATACTTGGGCTCTTGTAATTGTGAGCAACATTGCTCAAGTCCTTGTATACTTGGGCTCTTGCAATTGTGAGCAACATGCCCGAAAGCAAAGCAACAACCAAAGAGATAAACATGAGAACCCTAGTATGATACAAGGGGTATGCCTGAATCAAAGGATTTGGTAAGGTGGACTGGTGGAGTAAATTTGGTACTACAATAGGCGTTCATATGGACAGTAGATATGGGTAGTTATACGGATCCACTCCCCGAATCCCCCAGAAGCATCATGCACTTAACAGAGTTGAGGACTGAAACGGTCCCCGATGCACCAGTAACTTAAGGACTGAAACCTTACTTACTCATGCTTGACAGCCACATATCGCCTGGTAGCACCTAGATGCCGGGGGCCAAGAAGATAGGTGGGTTAGGCTTGGAGCATGGTATAGTTGCGTAGTTGCTGATCATGTGGCCCCTCTACTCCCGAGCCCTTGAAGAACAAGGGCTGCTTTCATAAGCAACCCAAGAAGGCATCCAAAGCATGAACAATCCCCCATATGTGAACCTTGTTATGCATTGCAGGCAGAGGCACCAATCCCCAAATCCCTGAAACCCTAAACCCTTAATCCCTAAAGCCTGCGAAGTAGTCAGTGCACTCGTTCCTTAAATGGAGGGGACCTACGTTGAGGCCTGTGATATACCAGAAACATTGTAACTGGTTGCCTCCAAGTTTCGAGACATGTGCGCTGAAACTAACCTTTCTTTACTCACCGAGACAACTGGGGTTTCTGGATATGGGGGACCCGGCAACCCCCGACCCCCAACCCTAAATCCTAAACCTAAGCCCTATAAACCCTCATCCTAAACCCTAAAACCTAAACCCTCACACAACCTGCAGCCAAGCAAAACTCTCAATTTTGCAGCATCGCTGCGGATGTAGCAGAGGTCTTTTTAAAGCCGCTCGTCCTGTGCCTATGCCAGTCTACCGGTAGAGCCCAGCTTTTCCTCTTCACACAGGAATATGCCTTAATGCCTTTGCAATTCGAATATCTACCACAGAACTCAAATGTCTTCAAGAGTCTGGTCCCATTAAATAGATACAATATGGCTTTTGGTATGCTGTAATAAGATCCTCATATATCTCATATTCTATCTACTGAAGGGGCACTATATATTACTCAGATTCTTTAAGTCGAGGAGTTCTGAGCTCTTCGGCAGGTGCCCGGCTGGAGAGCTGACTCAAAACTGCTAATTTTCCATATGGGGATATATTAGGGTTCAGGGTTTAGGAGTATATAGGGGTATAGGGATAGATAAGATTTTAGGGTTTAGAGCCCTAAGGGTCCAAGTACCCAACAATCAGGTACTTGGGATTTTGGTAATAGTAATTGTAGTATAGGTTTTGGGTACGGATATGATTATTGAGTACTTTGAATTGAACTTTAGGGTAAGGGAATATAATCCCTATACAATGTATTCCCTTATTCCCTGCTACCACCTAGTAAGTCTCTAGGGGGGACCCTTGCAGCTTATAGGTGGTAATGTAGGTGCCCACCCAAATATAGAGGGTATATATATATATATACTTAGGAGTACCTTCTAGGGATCCTTCCTAGCAAGCTTTGATCATTCTACCAAGGTAGAAATGTCAATGAGCACCTTGCCAGATGCCCGACCTGAGGGGAGTGTTTTGGGGGGTGGTAAAGCCGAGTAGGACAAGATTCTGTTCATGAAATACGATAGCCAAGAGGAAAATAGATTCTGACCCTGAACCCTAAACCCTAATGGGGACTCGTAGTAACCTTATTTGAAATACCGCGCACCTGTCTCCAAGTATTCGTGGGCCTTTGCAACGTCCTCGAGGAGGAAGGAGCGGTCCTCAGTGAGTCTCGTTACGGCAGAGGCGGTTGTCACGTCTGCGGTGTCTTTCCTTTGGTTAGCTGGGCATGAAGGCATGGAAAAGAACATGGAAACTACTGTAATGGGTTACTATGGGTTATATAGGGACTACTATACGGATCCATTCCTCCATTCCTAGCTAACCAAAGGCAATCTCCATAGTCAGGGCCACCACTTGTGTTGTTTGTTGTACGCATGGCTTGCGTGGCAGAAACATTTGTGGGTAGTAAGTGCGGACAAAAGACAGCAAGTCAAAGTACAGATCACTGGAGTAGAGCCAAGCAACTATGACCGGCTTGATGCTACCTGGCAGCAGGAGCAGTAATTAGCCATGCACCAGTCCGGACCTGCTAGGAATTGGGATTGGCACTGCCTGCTTCTAAGCATCGATGGTACCCTCCGTCTGCAATATCTTCCAAAAAATGAAAACCTCATCCCAGCCTAAGTTTCGAGCCCAATCGAACAGAACCCATAAGTAGAAAGGTGACGCCCGAGCCCCCCCCCCCCTCCCACACACGCATCAGAGTCCGACACCCCACATGCTCTTGAAAGCTTGTAAATGCGCCGTCATGATCCACATATACCCTAGTATAATATTGTAGTTTCCATTTTCTTTTCCATTATTCGCAATAATATAGCCCTACACCCTAAACCCTATATAACCCCTACATAGTGAAGGAGTTTGAGCACTGCAAGTCATCCTATTGCAACTTATTGCACTCCCGAGCGCAACTCCCCACAATAGGTAGCTTGATCCAGTCCTTTGTACACCCAGCCGACGCACAATCAAGAATGATGCACAGCAAACACAGTCTGCAGTTCTCAAAAAGTCCGTCTTGGGGACTTTTCCCGATAACAAGTTTCGAAAAAACCTGTCAGGAGATGATGATACTGCCCCTCTGCAGGACGGCAAGAGTCATTTTGAACTCGCCGATCGGAGTTTTCCAAAAGACCAGCGTGGTTTCTTGCGACGAGGAACTGCTGAAATTTCGTCGAAGTTCTTGTGTATGCCCCGGATCCCCAAGCATGAGATGTGACAGAGCAACGAATGATATGACGGTCCTCGTAATCTCTTTGTACTCCTGATGTATTCCTAAATCCAATACTCCATATCTGCGCGCATAACCCCTAAACCCTAAACCGCCTGCATCGATCCAGCTGGCGATGCTTCGCAGCCCAGCCGCATCGGGGCTTACGGGGTCGCAGTGATAGTAGACCCCGAGACCTGGGCTTAGGGTTCAAGGTAGGGAAGCCAAACAATCTTGTGAGTCTTAGCTGATCGGGTGGGCTCTTATATTGAAATTATGTTGTATATAGGGGTTATATAGGGTTAGATACTTCGGGGATATATTGGGGTTACATTGGGATAATGGAAAACAACATCGAAACTACTATTTAGGGTTTAGGGTATATAGTTTAGGGTTAAGGAACTTGATGTAAGCTAGTACCCTAAGGGTCCAAGTACCCAAGAATTAGGTACGTGGGATTTTGGTACTAGTAATTGTAATACAGGTTTTGGGTAAGTATATGATTATTGAGTACTTGGACCCTTAGGGTCTACTATCATTTTTCGAGAATTCTGGGGGAAACATGGCCGCGATCATGCGCATGCCTGTGTTTCCAACATCTGGCGTCTACGGAATAGAGACTAGCGGCGTCTTCTCTAGCTGCACAAAGACGGGTGAACAGTATTTGTATATTTTTTTGGAAATATGCGCCGCTTGACCAGAGTTGGGGTGTGAGGCCAAACAGATTTGGGGTTTGCGGCTCAGAGGAGTTGGCGCTTAGCGTCGCGAGACACCCCCCAGCTAGTGGGAGCTACAAGTCCAAGCTCTCTTGTTGTGGGGTACGGATCCTGGTATTGAAGGTGAACAAGAGATGCAATTGTTGTTCCCCTGCAAGTTTCTAGTCCGCGCAAGTGGGATCTGCTTTATGGCGGTGGAGAGCCTACTACTTGACAGCTCCACTTTCCTCCCTGAAGACTGTTTGTTTCATGGTTTGCCGGTTGCAATCCTCATTGGTGCTGCGCAAGAACAGTACTTGGTGTAAGAACTGCACTACAACATACAACTGAAATGAGAATCCTGGTACCGCAAGTAGACGCCAGAAATATATGATCTCTACAACATTCCCTTTGAGACTCCGCGTGTTGTCCCACGTGCTGGCTGTGCGCATCCGCAGAATCAACCCTTTTCACTATGGGCAGGGAGCCGGGAGGAAATCATGAGCAGTGGAAGCGAGGTTCTAGGTTTTCCTTGGACCGACCCCCTTGACAAAACTCCCCTTTCACAACCCCAGCGCCCTCCCAAAACTCATATGGAACTGCGAAAAAAGCGCATCAAAGGAGTCTGTAAAGACCTCAGTCCCCGGTCTCTGTGGCCAACAAATAGCTGTTTCTCCAAAATGGCCCTGTGGAATCCCTATCAGGGACCCCCATGGTTTCCTTGTAGCGCCCATATAAGCCTAGGGTCGACTAAGGTACCCCGTTTTGAGACACTACCACATATGGGTGGTTGTCAGAATTACAGTCCATTTTTGGATCCCTAGTATAATACGGTACCCAAAAAAGGAACCATAATTTTGACAACCACCCATATAATGACTGGGGCTCCGTCCCAAGTACTCTGCTAGCAGACTGTTGGCCCACTTCCTGCGCAGCTTTAGCACGAAGAAACGTGGGGGGGCATTTTTGCCTATTAGACCAGGGTTTCTAGTGCATCCTATGCGAAGGATAATAAGTTATAAGCGGATCATACAACTACTGATTCAAGGCTCCAGAGTAATCTCAGCAACCACAGAATACTGGGTTGCTGTTAAGGAACTTAATTTAAGTTATTATATTGGGGAAACCCTATTATTTACCATATATACCCATTATGGTAACTTAGTTTAAATTCNNCCTTAACAGCAACCCAGAATATTCCTTCCCCCACAACTCTGAAGGTGTCTGCAAAAAGGCGACAAGATTGGTCTGGGAGCATGGGAAGGGCACCAAGCATCTGCAACATCAGTCATTGTCAATTTCTCGACGGGATGATCACAAAGCAGCCGCTGCTAGAGCTTCTGCCACTCGGTTTAGGCTTTAGGGCTACTGCTTCTCCTGCAAACTGAGACAAGACTCCAGTTCAAATCATACGGACAACAATGCCAGCAACAACCTCAGGGTCATGATTGTCAGCACTTGCATCGTTCTGAGCAGTAACTTTGAGATTGAAACTGGAATTGCCCTTCCGCGGGTATTGGGAACATTTGTCACACCAACAGAAGCTCTCAGTAGCTATTTGAACTGCTCAGGACGCTTGTTGTAGGACTACCATGGGCCTCCTCAAAATGATCAGGGAAATAAGCCCTAGCTGGAGAACTCCATAAAACCTCAATCAAAGCTTGACTTGAAACGGGGCCCTTAATCTGGGGTGGCCCAAAGTAGCCCCATGAGCTTCAGGACCCTCATGGTTTCAGCCCGGTCTTGAGAAATGCTTTCATGATGAAGAGAGGGCCCAGCTCGCCGTCATTCGGCTCCCAATCGCTGCTCAAGATGTTGACATAGTGTCCGCCTGGTGTAAGCTAGTAGCCGTTAAAAGCGGTTAATCACAGCAATAATGAACATGCAAAGGCCGAAGCAGAGTTGTAGGGAGTAGAGTTGAACTGTCAAATGCCTTCGCTTGAGTCCCATTAGTGGCATGTCGTAGCGTGACGTTACAACCCTTGGGTCATGAGGACCCAGGAATGACCCACAACTTGCTGAAGAGCCTGTACTCGGCCTCAATGAGCGCCAAATGTGCTGAATTAAGGCGGAGCCCTTGCCGCTTAGTATAGGGGAGTGGCAGCATATCTATAACGGACCATATAAGTCATTCAATCCAGATGAGCATTACGTTACAAATTCTCTTGATGATGATGATGATGATGTATATGGTCCCATGAAGTGAAGCGCGTTGCAGGCCCCAATGTCATGTCACAACTTTCGGGCCTGTGGTGGCAACCAGCTTCCAGCTACTAACAATTCGTAAGCTCCTGAAACCACCGGTCTTATCAGAGTCTACAACTTCGGGTAAAGACAGTTCTAGGATTGTACAGGGGTTACCAAACAATTACAGACTTTGGAAAGCCCTAGGGATCCAAGTATGCA